TTCCACTAAGTGGTACCAGTAATCAGATAGTAGCTTCTTGGTATGCTACACTGCATCAACCATAGTAAATGTGTTTTTTTAACAGCTGTTAGCATGTGTAGCTTTATTTTCTTGACCATGTCAATAAACTTTTCAACCTCCCACCCTTTACTTACAAGTACTTGTAAATAGAATATGTCGGTTTTTACATATGTATGTCTACCTCCTCCCCTGCTGGGGTGCTATAGGCAGAGATGTGGGGCACCTTAAATATGACCTTATTGAAATAAACGTTCTACAAATAAGTTCACGCTTGCCTTACATAATCTTGAAATGACATGCCACAGTGGACAATGGGAAGCACCCTGGCTAATATCACTAAGGATGTTTCACTTGACAATTTTTTGCTGCCACGAAAGATAAGACTTTTTTGCAGATGATTCCCTAATTTTGCTGAAAAAGCGACTTGCTCTTATTGATGGAATGGAAGAAAAAAAAAGAAAAGGCTTCTTTTGTTCTTTTTTCTCCACCTGTGGTGTTCAAAAGTGGTAGCCAGCTGCTCTCAAAGTAATTATAGTTACTCTCTAAGAACATGAGTAAAAATTAGTTACTAATTTGACAAAACTGCAGCTGCTGAATAGCATGACACTGCAGGACCTGATGCTGAGCATGCCTACAAGCAACATTTGGGGTCACAAGAGAGATTAAAGCCAGGCCCCTGAGACCACGGGGTGGGGGGACAATAATCTAGGATCCATTTAAGTGTGACTGATGCCTTTTTTGGATGGGGGTCTCATGACTGCATATCTTGCCTATGGCAGTGTCAGTATTGCTGGTGTAGTAATAATGATCAACGGCTCCAGACCCACTGCTCACTACCAATAATCCACATGCAAGCCCACTGACCTCACAGTGGAGTCTACCGAGCTGCCAACTTCATTTTTCCATTTCACTAATGTGTGATTTTAGTGTATACCAATAACATTTTTAATATGACAGCTTGTCAGGCCAGTAAATGTCAGTCAAAGTTGGAGGCTTGACCAATACTGACACACCCAGATGTGAGCTGAAAGGTATTTGTTACGAGTTTATTTTGTGTGCCACATACATCCATGTGTTGAAGGAGATTAGCAGTTGAAAAGACAAACAAGTTTTTACACATTACAACAGTCTATTCATGTTCATGTGGGCTACAGTTTTGGAATGACTTAGTCAACTCATTTTTCTGTGTTACATGAAGTATTTTATCTTATAATACTTTAATGAAGCTGAGGCTGCTTCTTGTAGTATCATCTCTATATACATTTCACCACCAGCCAAAACTCTGTGATTGGTCACATCTCGCTTGGGATGACAGGTGGTAAGAATGTATGGTATGATGCTGACCACTGTGACAAATTGATAGAAAATGTAAATTTAAGCAGGCCACCATTTGGAAACAACATTCAGAGATAGGTTGGTCACTTGTACAATCCCAAATGGACTCTCTAGCTTGAAAATGTCTAAGTTTTCTGAGAATTCCTGCCTGAGGGGATCTTGTTAAGTAGCTATATGGGCTCATCCCTTTAAACCCTGATTAAGGGGTTTCACTCTCCAAATCCTGTTTAAGTCAAGCTGTGCTGAGTTGCCCCAAATGATCCACCCACAGGGTTTACTCCATCTCCAGACAGACAGCAGAAGTGTCTTTCTGCTGGTTAATGTGCCCACCTGCAGTGACACTGTCTGGGCCATTTGCCTAGCTCATATTTTCAGGCTGACCAGTTGAAAGTTTGGCTTTAGGCTATTACTGTTGCTTGGGCTTGTGATCTCTTTAACCCTGAGTCATGGCACCACATGGTCAGAACTATAAAGCAAAGACACTGTCACATGAAAGTCAGGTAAAAAGTGATTTATATTTATTTTATACTTGTTTTGTTACTTAATAATTATAACTCTGAGACTATAGAGATTTCTTAGTTTTCAAAAATCACTCTAATATTCTGATCACATCCTTCTCTTGACCTCAGACTCAGAGGAGATTGAGTTGTAACCAGGGGAACCGACAGTGATGAGAACCTGACAGCAGCCCAGTCTGGGTTCCTGAAGACACTGGTGGAGATAATGCTAATGAACAGTCATGCAGTGAAACAAAATGGCTTAATTGTACTGGGCTCATCTCGTGCTGAGTAACAAAGGCTCGGGGGAGGTTACGCTTCCAGACATAAATTATTGTAATCCTGCAGTAATAATTGAGCCACATCTCATGGGAGCAGTGAGGCACGTGAGTGTTGACCACAGCAGTCAGTCAGTATGGAGGAAACAGGTAACAAACTAAAAGTGAAAATTGCCACTCAAAAACGATGACGTAAATGTTTAAAGGAGAAAATTCTGCTTGCTTTATCGGACCTTCTGTTGTAAAATATTTGAACTACAATCATTTTTAATTCAGTTGCCTCTCCCAAAATTGCCTTTACTTTATGTCTTTTCAGAGCCTCGAAATGTTGTGCTTCTATTCTCCCACTAAAGCCACAGAAAGCACACTTGGCCAAGCTGACCCATTCTAGCTTTTGACAGGAAGCTCATGATTTTAAATATATGGCTCATGCATAATGAATGAGCCTGCACACAGGATGTCAGGGCAGTGTATCCAGAGAGCACCTGGGCCAAACAAAGATGCCCTTTCTGTCATGGGATTTGTGCCCTGGTACCCGCTGTCACCAGCCACCAGCTCACACCCAGCTGCAAAGCATTCATGCTCACCAGGCACATTCATCTCGTCAAAGTTGACTCCAAAATGTGACACTGTGCGCTCTGAATAAAGAGCCATTTATGGTCCTATAAATGATATGTTCAAAGCTGGGAACAAATGTTTTCAGATCTAGTTTGCTACAGTGGCTGTGAGAGCAGGGCCCATTCATTCAGGATCAGTCTTGTTGGCATACAGCACATCAGATTGACGTGGTCTTGCAGAATGTTTAGAATCTGTTTGTCAATATATCTTTTGCTGCGTAGCAAAGAAATGCAGCGCAACTATAAAAAACTCACAAGAACGTGAATAATTGTCATTCGACTCTACACCTTGATGAGACAAGACAAGCTGACAGGAGACCGTCATATTGAATTTGAGAGTTGACCCCTGCACATGACATGATCTTGTCTGGTCTTGTTGTGTGGACAATGCCATTGAGAGTGAAAAGAATAATTAGCACTGTCTGGTCTCACATTAAGCCTGCGTAAAAAGAAAACGTCAGATAAACGATTAATATATGCATCCCACAAGACCTGAAACACCCAATACCCTCGGTAGCCACGAACACTACGAACCACACAACAACAATTTATCTGTGGACATGTGCATGTCTATATGTGCAGAGCCAGCCGACTTGGCATAGAGTCACCCAGTTGCATTGTTGCTGTGTTTGCGGCATTAAGCGCAGCAAGATTTATGCTGATGGGGGTGTGTTGGAATCCAGGCCCTCTCATCCAGCCCAGCTGCATAGAGAACAAAACCAAAGGCCCAGCTGCAGATATTAGTATGGGGATGCTCTCTCTCTCCCTCTCTCTCTCTCTCGCTCTCTCTCTCTCTCCCTCCCTG